TTCTTGTGATGAATCGATCGCCGAGAAAATGTAGGCACTGCGATGAGCAAATAGAACTCTGCAGGGGGGTCTGGGTTAAAAAAATTGTAAAAGCATGACTTATAAATATGACTGGAAGCAAGAAGGAAAATAAAAAAGGCTTAAGAAAATATAAGGAATAGAGATATCAACATAAAGCCTAGCAGCAAGGCAAAGAGAAGGGAGAGCGGGTGAGAGAGGAAGAGAGTGAATGAGAGTGAGTGAGAGGGACAGATGGGACAGGGGGAGACAGAAAAATTTAGATCTAGAAGGAGGGACAGAGGGAAGGATGAAGAAGTGCATGGAAGTATTGACGGGGTGGAAGGAGAAAAGCAAACAATGTGTCATCCTTGAGCACACAGAGACTGAAATGAGTGCACAGGAGAAACAAATCAGAAAAAATGAAAATCAAGACACAATGAGATGGGAAGACTTGAGAGGAAGAAACAGAAAACTGGGGAGGAAAACAAAAATAGGGGAATACTCTGACTCAGATTACTGTAAGCATGCCAACTGTATAAAATACTGTTGTTCTTAAATGATCCAGAGACATTGCTGTGCATTAAGTGCATTGCAGTCCACTGGTTCTCAAGCTATTGTGAGTGTACTACTGGTGGTACATGGAGCAATCTCTCAATCTATTTTTTTTAAATTTAATTAATTCATTTAAAACAATCAATTACTACAACAATTCTACATTAAAGTACTTAAAACTCTATGACGAGACAATGGAACTTCCTGTATTTCCTGTAAAATATTGTGTTCATATAAGCCTGGCTACGTAGTCGATCGTCATGCACAGGGATTAGTTAGACTTAAAAATGAAGGTAAACACAGCTCAAGCTGGAGGTAAAATTAATGGTTCAAAAACTGCAATTACGTCTCCAGACTGGAACTACTGGGAAGTGTGGACCAGGAGTACCCCTTATCCACCAAATCAGTTCTGGTTCTTGAACTGGTTCCATTCAGGATTCAACTACAGTCAACAATAAATAATCTTCTGTCACTGTGCTGTATTTTAACGTCACTCATAATGGCGAACACCTGTGTAGGGTCTATTCAGTCGGTCTTGTCATAGTAGAAGAGCCACAGGGTTAAACAGCTACTGGCCTGAATAGGGGAATGTATATTTAATTAATGGAAGTGCACCTTGTTGTATTGTTGGAAATGTATGAGTTTGTATTCTTTGTAACAAAGAATGTGGGTTGCCATCGGTGGGGTGGGGTTTGTGTTTGTCATTGTATTGGACATGTTGTCTTATACTCTTTTTTTTGTAGGAATAAAAACAATTGAAAACAAAATATTATCAAAATTGCGATATGACGAAGTGTAATATTAAAACCGCAGAAGCTGTAATTTTCAATTCAAAAAGTGCAATAGTTCTGAGGAAGTGCCCTGGACTACAAATCTTGTTTTCCAGATTTAAGAAAAACAACCCAACAAATGTCACATCATCATGATATTTATAGTTTTTTTCAGTGAAAATTAAATTTGTGAAAAATTATGACAATTATCTGTCAAAATATTCACAATATGATGTTTTTACCATGCAGCCCTAGCAGGACCCTCAAACTGATGCAGTAAAATGGGATTCAGCTGACATTATTTTATCATTTACACCTGTTCTTCCCCTACTGTGACATGTCAAAAATGTCTCTTGTGAAAAATGCCATGAAAAATGTCAAACTGTAACAATACAGTGTTCTAGCTACATGGAGCAAGGCTGGTGTTCAGATAAAATGTGTCTATAAAACGCCAATCCAGACACCCCCTGCTGCCCACTCAACAGGGTACAAGTCTTTTAGTGTAGCCTGAGAGAGATTAGTGGCACTGTCTCAAACACACGTATCGTACACTCTCACCTTTTGTCTGTCTCTCATGTCTGTGTCAAATAGGATTCACTTAACAATGACGAGAAAGAGAGAGCATACAGTCAATGCCACGCACAAAATGGTCAGTAGTGGCTGAGCAAAAAGAACAAAAAGAAATCAAATCTCAAAGACATGTTAGGAAAAGCCAAGTAGAGAAGAAAAGACTGTAAATGAACCAGCGAAAAAACAGTCAAAGTGTTTCTTCACAGTGCTGGTCTGGACACATGTGGACCATTATACGCACCCCAGTATGAGTCAGTGCGATGGTAAAGTTTGTGAGGTGGGAAAGTGGGAGGAAGAGAGACAGAGAGCAAAGGAGAGATTGAACAAGAGAGAGATTGAGTCAGAGCAAGAGGGAGAAATCACTTTTTGAGGGGGGATGGAGGGGTGCTGAGAAAGAAGGGGAGGAGAGATTAGCGTCATTAAAGAGCCCTAATCCTCTGACTAGCGTGGCTGGCGCTAAAATGGAGGATCACACGGCTTTTTAACGGCGCCTTTGTCAGTCGGCCGCGAGGGGACCTGGCAAGACAAGGCCGAATGGCAAACTGGGAGAAACTGGAGGACGGGGAGGGGGGAGCGAAGAAAATTTCAATGAAAAGTTAAATTAGAGAAGAATCCTCGAGAGAAGATGAGGAGGATGGATGGTTGAGGGAGGGGGGTTGGAGAGAAAAAAGAGGGAGAAAAAGTAGTTGGAAAAAAAGGGAAAACAGGCAGGAGCACGCGGACGCCGACACACGCTGTTCTACCCCCGTCTCCTCCTCCTCCTCCTCCTCCTCTCTGTTCTTCTCTGGCGAACGAAAACGAACGAGAGGAGTGGAGTGGAGGACCACAGGGCCCCAACAGCTCCGCTCCCGCTTTATCTCTCACTCTGCAGTCCTCTCCTTTCCCATCCATTCCCTCTATCCTTCATCCCTCCCTCTGTCCCCAGCAGTCCCTCTCCTCTTCTGTCTTCATCTCTCTTCCACTACCTCCCTCCCTCGCTCCCTCCCTCCGTCAGCTTTCATGTTGTTACTCATTATAGCTCTGACATCTCTCCCTCCGTCCCTCCATCTCTCCGACAGTCTCTCCCCTACTGGTGTTGGCCTTCACCCCTGTGTCTCGGCCTGGACGGGACCGAGGGAGAGAGGCGGGGGGAGACGTTCCAGATGGACAGACTCTGAACTCCAGAGGAGAGGGAAGAGATGGCGGTATGAAAGAAGAGACAAGAAAAAAGAGGAGAGGAGAGGAGAACCCAGGGGTCTGTGATAAGACATGGAAAAGGCCAGAAAAGAACCAAACGGACCGCCTGAGTCTACCTGAAACAACAGACGTACACAAACGCACACATGCAAACAACGCGCGCACACACACCCCGTGTGTCTCTCTAATAGGCCAGACAGTGTGGCAACGTGTGGAGGACACAGCCTTGGTGAAACACTCTAATGAAGAGACACACACGCTGATCAATCTCTCTTTATGTTCCTGCCTCCCCTGTCTACTGCCCCCCCACAGTATTCTAAACTCAGTAACTTTGTCATGACTGTCACACAGAGGGAAAATACATCAAAGCAGCACAGTTTATAAGATGGAAATCTTATTAAAAGAAACTTTAGAGACTATTGTGGTCTTCAGATGTAAAGATCAATAACCAAACCAGTAGCCAAAATTGAAATATTACACAGTATTTCCACATTTCTGCTGGCTGTAGCCACGAGGTTGCAAACCGACAAACTGAACGACTCAACGGGCCGACATGGAACCAGCACTCAAGAACATTAGTTCAATTAGTCCGCTCAGGATAACAGCGTCTGC